ACGTCAATATTGACTTTTTTAAATTAATTAACCCGCGGCAACATAGGCCATTGTATAATAATTCTTAAAAGGTTTCTAATTGTGGGGGTTGGTATGATAGATTAGGCGTGGCCTGTTCCGACCAAAGCTATTTTAATCGTTTTCAAATAAAGTTGGCAATGATTTTTAAAGAATTTAATAGGTATGTATTATAATATTAATTATTTAAAAAAAAATCATTACACAATATAATAGATTATTAACTAATATTTATTTTTATTAAAATTAAATAGTCATCACAAAATACGTACAGAAAAATTATTGTTTTTTTTAAATTTCTACCCATAATTTTTACAAACTCATACCTAGTAACTATTTTAAAATAATATTTGAGTTTCATTTATCGTTACCCAAAGAAAAACAACAATTAAGCGAAACAATATTTATTCACTTTTATTCTAACTCTCCATTATAATCATAAATTGGTTAAATGTTATATGCAACGACATCTAGAGATCTTAGACAGAAATATATATCAATACGAATAGCGTTGAAATTCCCAAAAAAACAAAAGACAAAAATGAAGGAAGAACACGAAAATAGGTACAAAAACATATACTTTTATACAGATCTGGCAAATTAATAGGTATGAGTTTGTAAAAAGTATGTGTAGAAATTTAAAAAAATAATAATTTTAGTTTATGTATTTTGTGATGACTAATTAATTTTAGTAAAAAATAATAATATTCAATGATCTATGATATTGTGTAATATTTTTTTTTTAAATAAATAATAATATATATATTATATAATACAATATACAACCCTATTTAATTATTTAAAAATCATTGTCAACTTAATTTGAAAACGACTAAAATGGCTTTGAGCGAAACGGGTCCTATTTTGCTAGGTTTTTATTTAAAAAAACTGGTAAAAAATTAGATTATATTATTAAAATATATAATGTTTTGTATTGGTACATTTAACATAAATTACGATTCTGTTTAGAACTTCACTCATCTCCCAACACAAGCTTACGCTGAGCTATATATCTGTAAGTAATCAATTTTATAAGTATCAATTTATATTTGTGGTTTAAATATAGGCTTATTATAATAACCAAAGTTAGTCAGTTGTAAAAATAATATAAAAATATTGATAAAAATAATAATATGTAAACAATAAAAAAAAAAAAACAAATTATGTTACATTGGTTGGAAGAAAGGATTACCAGATAAAGGCGGTGGGCAATTATAAATCCCTTATATATACCATATATTTGGTGAATTGTTATTATTATCATTYGGGCCCGTTGATTCCCGACGTGAACGACGATACCGATGAAAAATTGAATAGTTACAGAGATACTTATTTTGGTGCAAATTATAAATTCGCTATTTTTGACTACCTACAATGATACAAATTATGCATACTTTGTTTTTGGTGCAAAATACAAATTCACCCTATATTTAAACGATTTTAATGTTATCTGTTTGTAATAGGTACCATCATAAACGAAAACATTTGCATTTGTTTACATCACCTATTTGAATTTAACATTTTTTTTTTTTTAACAAAACAAATTCCTAGGTGCGTACATTCTTTTTGTTAAATGCGAAATATTGTCATAATAATACAATACATTTTAGGTCCGCATAGAGGTATTCAACCATGAGTTATAATTTTTTTTTTTTTT